GATGTATAATTTAAATTTTGAAAGTTAAAATAATTATATTTTCAATGTGATATAAAATAATGAAATAATAGAAACGTAAAAATAAAGTTTGGATGTTATATCACATAGGAATGAATTGTAAGTGTTTAAAAGCCCCCTATAAATGAAAGATTTTCATACATGACACTAAATTCTCATCTATTTACATGTCTAATACGTAAATTTAATTTTTAGATATATGTCCCATTAATTATGTATGAAAATATGTATTTCAATTTTTTTAAAGTTAAATTTGTGACATTTTATATGTCATATGATAAATTTGGGTGCTACAAACGCAAAAAAATATATATATATTAGATGCTTGATATGTAAATGCACAAGAATTGAGTATGAATCGCTATGACGATGATGTGATCCATGCCATCACTCACAAGCATATGCTCTCTCTAATACCATGTGCTCATCAATTAATAAGCTTTGGAAGTCTCACTGCATGACTAGCGGCGCATGGAGCACATGCAAAACCAAGACATTTGAGCAATTTACTACATCTAATGCATCAGAGATACGAGTCAAAGATGAACAAATTATATTCAATTTAGGCTGCCTTTCAAGATAATTTTCTACACAATCTCATAAGATAATGATACTTCTTATTAATCTTTTTTTTTTATTAGGAAAATATTAGAAGGGAACAAAATATTGATGGACAAATTTATGGATGGATTAAATATGGAATGTATTGATTGATATGAGGAATTGATTTTCATTGAACATAATTTTATTTCAATTATTTTTATTTAATTTTGATGGATATGAATTATATGGTTTTTATATTATCTTAGATAATTATAATAACCAACTAATTAATTATTTTCATTTCTGATTTTTAAAATAAATCTATTTTTATGAAATTAAAGTTATTATTTTTCAATCCATTTTTTAAGGAAGATTTACATACATGCTCACTCCCTATGTATTTACATATCTAAGCCCTAAACTTCATTATATATATATATATATATATATGTGTGTGTGTGTGTGTGTGTGTGTGATGTTAAACTTTTTAGTGTTAAATTAATCACAATTATAAAAAAATTAATATTGGTAATATTTAATTATGTGATGTTCAATATTTGAATATTTTAGTGTTAAATAAATAAATATTAAAATTTTGGCATTGTTGTGTTTTAAATAAGATGTAAGTGATCGAGAAATCTAACTGTCTAGCACAATATAATTTTCCAGTACATACACACACTAAAAAGTGAAGAGGACAACTAGATATTTTATTTGGGAAAACAATGAAAGGGGAAAAAGTCATGAGTCTTACCTAATCCAAGTAATTCACTAAAAAATTGAAGCAAATGTACACACTTTTCTTGAATTAAATAAGATGGGATTGCAAAATTGACAAGTATAGATTTATAATTGTAATTTAGCTATAAAAGTTGTGTATTTTTTCCTACAATAACAATAGAGGTAACAATTGTCGGTGGCGATTGACGACGATCTTTGATGGTTGGCAGAGAACTCTGTGCTTAGATGTGAACTCTGGCAACTGATTGTAACTGTTGAGACTAAGAGTTAAGGTTTTATAATCATCTTGTTCTGTTATCTTCACCTCTCCCATTTCAAGTGAAGAGTGAGAGGGGTGTTTTGCTAAATTTGGTCAATCGCTTAAATGAATATCGAACACTCTACATTGATTTGTTTGAACAAATATTATTTTTTTAATATTTAAATATCTTGACAACCTCATAATTAGTGATCTTTAGTCTCGTTGGATTGCTCTCATCAAGCCGCTCGATTCGACTGTAAATGTCTAAATTTTCAATATTTAAGTGTCGTAATAACATTAAAATTAGATTTCAACTGATCGAACCAAGTATTTAACTATACTTAAAGTGTTTGATCCGTGCTTGTTTAGACTCGAATTAGATCATTTTTGACATCATTGAATTCATCATGTTAAGCTGCTCAACTTAAACTATAAACTTATTTAAATCAGGGCTAAGATAATTTTGAATTTGAATTTGAAATATTCCTTACGCAAAATATATCAAGTTTCCTTCCAGGCTATACAAAATGCCTTGATGCACATCCGGTATTAGATATAATTCATTCATAAATCCTTCTAAAATAAAGATACTCTTACTCATGGCTAATTAGAGTAAAGCAAAATGCCTCCAAATTAATTAAACTGACTAATGTGTTTATGTTGGATTGAATGGCTTCATTTAAATTGTAAGCGACAGTTTGCCCTGCTAATTAAACAACTAATATTCAGCTAATATATCTCTAACAACGGTAAGTTGGGCTACCGAAGAATCATAATCAAACCAACCTTACCCATCACTAATCCCTTCTCTCCCTTTCCTTCTTACAATTTCTTCTTTTTTTTTTTTGGAGGGGGGATAATTACATGCATGCACTCTTAGCTTTGTTATTTACAAAATCAAACGGTCCAACACCAACCTTAATTCTTTAAACTGCCAAATCAGTGCAATAATGCTTGTCTGTAACAGTCAAATTGAATTTTTGTTCGTGTTTTGACTTGCTTGCTTAGTTAGCCGAACTCGAGCTGTTTGTGAATAAAGAATCATTTTGACAATCTTAATCACGCATGCAGCAATTAGAGGTGAGAACGAGCCGAGCTTGAGCGAGCGCAGATTCGATTTGTAAAAAGAATATTATTGAAAATTTATTTGTGATCGGCTCATTTATCGAACCGAAATTATTCACGAAATGAGCTTTTTTATATCTTTAATTTTAAAGAAAAAAATAATATCACTCAGCTTCTTCACTATACCCGAAGTAAATATACACGATTTGTAAAAAGAATATTATTGAAAATTTATTTGTTATCGGCTCATTTATCGAACATAAATTGTTCACGAAATGAGCTTTTTTATATCTTTAATTTTAGAGAAAAAAAATAACATCGCTCAGCTTCTTCACTATACCCGAAGTAAATATACACTACCATTAATATCAAATAATTGCGCATTAAATGAATGACAATACGTTGTTATCTATTCTTATCATCTTAGTGTAGCCATCCATTTCATTTTGGACGGCTGAAATTGATGTTACCATCTCAACCATTGATTTTGATTAAAACTACAAAAGACTCCAAAAAAACAAAAAAAGAAAAAAAAAGGCAAAAATTATGAATTTTATGTTCAAAATTTCATTTGTTATTTGTGGGCTTATATTCAAGACAAGGTCGATAAGTTAATCAAGTAGATTCGGACAATATACAATGCCACTTAACAATGGCCATGCACAAATAAACGTGTGAAGTTCAAAACTAATGTTATATTCCTCCTCATAGTATAGTGTATATTCAGAAGTGTCGTCATCTTCTTATTCCTCACCGATTTGCTCCTTATTGGGTTAAAGGATTGCTTGCCATCTTAGAAGTTGTTGCGAATGATGTCTAAGAGAGTCGAGTGGATCCATAACAAGTTAAAAAATATTCTACTTTACTTAGCACGGTGTATGTATATGAGGTGGTATACAAAGTTGAGATTCAAATTACTATAGTAGGGGTGATTGTCAATGATGTTAGATGGCATCATCATTAATGTGGTTGTAAGAAGGACGATGGCATCTTTTATGTAATAGAAGGGGCAAGAACAAATATGATTATTATGGTATAATGGAAGTTAGTGACTTTAACTACAATTGAGAAAATCAAATTGATATAAATAAAAAAATATATTATCAATTCTAAAGATTAAAAAAAAAAATTCTTAGGAAACTCATTCTATAAGCTTAATAGAGGAAATCTATCAAGACTAATCTTTCACTTCAAAGATGCAACCTTTTAAATAATTTTAAACCATTTTGATTTTGTAATATAATTTTGTCAAAATTTATACACACCACAATACATGATATTACATAATTTTAGTTAGAAAAAAAAGAAATTTTATAATTTTTTATGATTTGATTGCCTAATTGATAGTCAACTTGCTCAACTATATGGCTTTTTAATTATAATACATCTAAAGTTACCTTCTTTGCATTGAAATCATAATAGGTGGTTAAAAAGACCATACATGTTGCCCATACTTGATTATTTATTTAAAAAATTGGCCATTCTTATTAAAAAAGAACATATTTAAATGTTTTAATTTTATGATTTTCAATTTTTCCCCTGATTACTCCATTTTTAATTGATTGTGCTAATGGCACAATATTTAAGATTTTTTTTTTTCATTTTTAAATAATAAATTTGAAGCTTAACTCTTTCTACTTGAAGTGATAATCACAATTATAATCAATTTTATCTATAATGATGAAAATATTATAAAATTTAAAATAAAAAAATCATGAATTAATGATAATTATTTTCTTCTCATAATCAAATTTGATGACTAAATTATTGCATGATAATGACTAAACTTGTAAGCTAACTCAAATATTTTAATGTATTGATAAATCATATTCTTACCATAAAATATCAAAATTTCTAGCAAAATATCACATTTCTATTACATCTTCATTATTCTATTTTATATTTCATCTCTCATAAAGGAACACTTCTTTTAAATATAATATGCTTGTTATTAGCTGACATTATATTGCTTATATAATAAAAAAAATAAAAATTTTGAAATTGAAAGCAAGAAAGAAATAAAGTGAGAAAATTATGATAGCCATTCTTAACTTAATACAATGAAATTAAGCTATTCATCTCAACCAATTTTCTATGAATGGTTGATACTTATAAAAACAACATCAACATAAGATAGCCACTAAGCCTTAAAATTTTTATATTATTAAAAAAAAAAAAAGATGACAAAAACTTTCAAGTAAAAGGAAAGTATTATTTATGCATAAAATTATACATAAAAATTATATGTATTTTAGTGAGAAAAGTGTTATTTTTTATATATTACTAAAAATTTGAATATTTTTTGTGTAAATATGAAAGTTTATGTGTGAGCTATGTAAATACACGAAAATTATGTGATATGTCTACAAATATGAGCAAAGAAAGGTTTTTTTCTTGTTTGAAAAAAGTTGAAATCAGTAAAGGAGGTAGCTTGGGCCTCTTTTTTCTCTGCACCCAAACTTCCCCAACGCTTCCTTCCCCGTCTCTCCCTGCAGCCATGACTTGCCAATTCTAGAACAAGACCAAACAGTCTCTCCAGCACACTCTCTGCTCTCTAACTTGAAAGTGGAGACGAATCTATCAACTCCTTTACAGCTCCACCATTTGAATCACAAAAATTCCCTTCAATGCCAGCCTTCTCAGTCACCTACATCTAGTCCAACCCACCTCACCTGAATACCAAATGGAGCGGCACCGCAATCTCCTCATCATTCTCACCGTCGTCTCCCTCTCTCTCTTTCTTCTCCTCTGCTCCGCACTATACCTCTATTTCCGTCGGAGATGCGCCATTAGAAGTAGGAGAAGCTGCGAAGACTCCATGGAGGGCAAAAGTTTTGAGCTTGTCAAAGTGGAGGCCGAGGAGCTTATCGTGTTCCCCGGCTGCGAGCATTTGAGTACGAAGGACATACTTGATGCGCCGGGAGAAGTGGTGGGGAAGTCGAGTTATGGGACTCTGTACCGTGCCACCATCCGGATCTCCGACGCCGGCGTAATGCTTCTTCGGTTCATCCACCCCACCTGTTCTCGCCGGACTCGCGATGTTCTTACGGCTATTCGGTTGATTGGATTGATGCGGCATCCTAATCTGGTGCCGCTGAGAGCTCTTTATGTGGGTCTGCGAGGGGAGAAGCTCTTCATCTATCCCTATTACGCTGCGGGAAATCTCGCTCAGTTCCTGAAAGGTAACAGCTTGCAGGTTTCGGAAAAGAAAATGGATCCAAAGATTTCATTTTTGGGATGATTTGGTTTCTGTAATGTTGCTTTATGTTGTAATTGTTTTTCTGTTACCTTTCTTATGATGTTATAAGTTTCTAATTTTAAGTTAGAAGAAACAATCTTGTTCTTTCTGGTGCTTTCAGTCCAATCCCTCTGTGAATTTTACTGAATACTTTTGCTTTTTGCTTTTCTGAGATCCAAAGGTTTTAGGCTTGCTTTAATTTCTTATGAATTAGTTGTTCTATTAAACTGTAGAAATCAGTGCAGCAGGAAGCTCTGAAACCAAGAGATGGAGAATCATATATGAAATAAGCCTGGGAATTGCCAGAGGACTGGATCACCTCCACAACTCATTGCAGAAACCGATCATTCATGGCAATCTGAAGTCTAAAAACGTGCTCCTCGGCGCCGATCTTCAACCTCACCTCTCCGATTTCGGCCTCCACCTCTTTCTGAGCCCTTCTGCGGCGCAAGAGATCCTCGAGGCATCTGCGATTCAGGGATACAGAGCCCCCGAGCTGATCAAGATGAAGGAGGCCAACACCAAAACGGATATCTACAGCTTCGGGATCGTCTTGCTGGAGCTAATTACTCTCAAGGATGCGCCGAGTTGCAGACTGTTGGTGTTTGATAGTAAGATCTATGATACTCTCAGTTCCGAGGTCGTCGACAATGGCGGAATGGATCAGAACTGGAGTACTGAAGCACTTCTTAGGTGCTATCAACTGGCGATTTCGTGCTGCTCGCCATCGCCGGCGCTGAGACCTGACATTAAGCTTGTGATCCGAAAGCTGGAGGAGATTGGGTGTTCGTGAGTGTGATTAGGGTCTAGGGTTTCTATTTTATTGTATGGCTGGCTGAGTTCTGCAGGAGACCATGTGGTGGTTGTGTGTGGAGCTGAGTTACAGTTGGAGCAACCAGTTTAACTTCACTAACAAAAAAATGCCTTTGGTGTCTTCAGTTCAAATTTGATCAGTGATGGGAATAGTAGAAAGAAATTTGATTTCAATATTTTGAAGCATAAGCTTGAAATATTTTGGTTAGTGAAATCCATTTTATATGGTTCAAATTTTATTCTTAGATTAACTCTAAGATTATGACGGATTGTTTTTTTTTTCATATTTAATATGTCTATGTTGCTCTCTCTCTCTCTCTCTCTCTCTCTCTATATATATATATATATATATAATGCTTTAGTGCTATAATCGCATCAAAATTTATGCATGAAAAATGAGTATAACATGTCGAAAGATGTTACTAATCATGATTTTAAAAGCAGGACCAGACTGTGAACCAATCATTCAACTAATTCAATCTAAGCTTAGAATTGTTTCTATATAGAACTGGAATTGAACTGATCAGAGCTGGGGTGTGGATGACCAAACTGGTTATGCCAAGTCCTGAAATGGATGGTAGTTATAAGTGCTATAAGAGGATATAATTTCTTATTAGTTTGACCACTATGAATTGGTTTCTTTGTGTTTTGATCATGTATAGTAAATCTGTTAGTATAAAAAGTTATAGGCTAAATTATTGTCATAAATAGGTTTAGAAATTGAAGTTAAATTGTGTGAGTTGCTTAGAATCTGAGTATAGAGGAGAGAGTGAGCTTACGATCTAGCGTGGAAAGGAGGCCATTTTCATTATAGGAAATGTGAGTTGAATATTCATTACCGGCCATGACTTGATCAGATCTAATGTAAGGAGTAGGGTGTTGTTTGTTTTTGATATACAATGTTGAGTGAGCTGTAGCACCTGTATCAAGAACTTAGTTTTTATTCTTTGAAGTCATGGTAGCATTGAGGGTAGTAGCTGAAGTATCGGGGGATGGTTTGTATTGTCAGTTGGTCTAGTGTCAACACTAATCTATCGAGTGGCATTTCATATGACAAATCTGACATAAGATGGCTGGTTTGTTGGGTTGTGTGTTGTTTTTGGAGAAGGACTTGTTGGTTTGAAGATTCTTGGAAGGGAATCTGAATTTCAAATTGTGTGGGTGGATTTTAGAGTTTCATTTGCAAGATTACTTTACTCAATATGAAGTAAGGAATATAAATCTTCCAAAGCAATAGGTGGTCAATGAGTTCTGATAGCAGTTTTAAAGCCTTGATAATGTGTTGGAAAGCCATTTAGAGTGTAAAGAATGATGTCTTCATTATCTACCATTGATCATGTTGTTGTAATGTTGGCTACAATGTTCTTGATGCTTGTAAGATATTGTGTCATGATTGAGTTCCCTTGCTAATATTGTGAAGCTCATTTTTGAGTTGAATAACTCTCGAATGATTGGCTGATTAGACAATTCTTTTCTAAGGTAAGCCAAATATCTATTGCGTTGGTTAAGTGAAGGATGTAAGATAGAACTAAGGGTGAGATGGTGGAAAAAATGGTTGTGACCAAATTTCGATCCACCAATTTTCAAAGGGCATAATTAGAATTGTCTTTTTGAATTCCAATAGGTTCTAGTTGAAGTCATGGGGAGGTAGTATAGTGCTATCAATAAAAAAAATCAAACCCATTAACAAGGAGGAGTTTTGACATTATACATTCCAGACAACATAATATTTGAATATCAATGAAACATTTGCTATATTCTTGATGTGTAGCATCAATAATTTCAAGGTTCCAAGAATGCGGGCTTCTTTCATCTTGTTGAGAGATTCTTGAGACTGCTGAATGAAATGGAGAGAGGTAGGAGATGATGAATCCATGGATCTTGTGATGTTGTGAAGCTTATAACTTTGATATCATGAAAGAACAGAAAAGGTAAGAAATAGAGAAGTAATGGAAATTCTAGAGTAATTGAACATATTAAATTTTTTGCTAAAACTAATCCAAATTAAACAAAAAAATAATTAGGTTTATTTTGTCCAATTTAAAGCAACTTGAAATTTAACATATGATTCTATTTCAAATATAATTAGTTAAAAATTAATGTTCTATTTCAAAATTAAAATTTATTTTTTTATGTCTCCTATACATCTCTTTAAAATTAAAATTTCAAATTAAACAAAAAAAAAAAAAAATCACATGCTTAGTTTTTTTTTTCATCTGAATTTAAATTTTTAGTCCTAATAATATTCATTAAGTCAGTTTCTTTGGTTAACGAATATTAAAATTGACCCAAAATTTGAAAATTGAATATTTAAATTTTAAAAATAAAAAACGATATCATTATTTTAAAATAGAATTGAATACCGATTCAGTTTGATTTTTTTAATTTTAGTGGAATAATACACACCCAGAAACTATTCCTGACATTGATCGGCGTATTTACGAGCTTCAAATGGGGCTGCAAAATCATTGAATCATCTCACATGTGGAAGGGGACGGGGTAAAAATATTCTGCCCTCTTTAGAGTCGAGTCAACACGCGGAAATTTTTTTTATCGGATGATATATTTTTAGGTATGGATTACATACCAGATGAAGGACAAAAGTTAAAGCGGAACGAAGCGAGCTAGCAGAGCGGAGTGGAGTGAAAGTATCAATCCAATCAGGGGAGTTAACCTTTTGTTGGCTGGGGGTCCGGGGGCAACGACCCCGCGGTATGTTACAGGGGTAATTTTGTAATTACATATTATATTCCAGGATTATATATATATGCGTATTGTAACTCTAATGTTTATTTTTTTTCTGAATTGAAAGAAAGTCTTGACGTAGACATTTTTGTCGAACCTCGTTAAATCTTTGTATTTTTCTTATGGATTTGCGATTATTTGCCCTAAATTTCTCAACAAGTAGTATCAGAACGTGGTTATAAAGCGGAAGAGAATTTCAGCGCAGGGACAAAGAAGATTTGGCAGAGGAGTTCAGCAACGCTGCTAAGGTTTTCGACGATTCAGAGCGAATTCGGTGAAGGGTTTCGGCAAGATTCGCAACAGTTCAGATTTGGCAAGGCTTGAGACTAAATGCAGAGCTTCCCAAAAGCTTCTAGTCAGAGGATGTGAATATGACATATTGCATATAAGGATGTGAATATTCTTATATTACATATTTGAATATTATTCAAAATATATTCAAAGCATGTGTCGGGATAAAATGTGCTCCTAAAGATTATTTTGATTTAAATCATTCTAATCAAAGCAATAGCATATGCATTTAATAAATTATTTAATTAAAAAGTTCACATTTATACCAATCTTTAGCACTAAATTAAAACACTTGGAAGAAAAAAAAATTCATCAAAGCTAGATGTTATGACATTGTGTCTTTAATATTCAATATAATGGTGTAATTTGTCTCGAGTTGTCTAACAATTTTCTTCATCACATGATCAACTCTACATGTGGCCTATATCTTCTAGTCTTTAAATAATATTCAAATTTGATTTTATCTAGTTCAACTTTTACTTCAACTTTGCTATTATCTTGAACAGCCATACGAAGAATTTTTTGAAGAGAAGAGAATTCAAACATTAATTAATCACACTCGAACATCGATTAAATCATATTTTGAAGTATGATCAAATCCTCTTAAAGTATTGCCAATATGTATTATGATCAAGGTCAGGACAAATTTCGATCAATATTTGGTCACGAAAAATTATTTAGAGCATCAATAAAATTTTTAAAACCTAAACATCCAAATGTATAACATCATTGATCTTGAACAATCAACTAAAGATTAAGATGAAAATTTTGCCACAAGACCCACATTGTTAGAGATGTGGAAGGCATTAAGAAAAAAGAAAAAATAGACAACTTGTTGTTCGAAATTAAATTTGCTAATATAATGAGTTAGCATTTTTTAACGTCCACTTGCATTACTTGCACGTTCCGACGATGATCCGAATGTGACCACCCCATGGCTTAGGCTTTTTGGCAGCACATTACAGACTTTAGCCTTAGTGAGACAAATTTGGATCATTATTTTTTATTTCTAGGGTTTAAACTTCTCCCAGCCATAAATCCACTTTGTTCCATTGTGGCAGAACTGAGGAAGAAGCAAAAAGGTAGAGAAGGTGGATTAGATTTGGAGAGATTCTCACATCTCTCTCTCAGTTAAAGTCTCAGATTTGTCTTTAGCATATCTGCAGTTTCAGTTTTTGTTCTTTGCGATGAGTACATGATTTCTCTACTGTTGCCTTTGGCTGCCATATTCAGCAAGATGTGTACGTGTCTCCTAATCTTAGGGTTCGTTTGGGGGAGCTTATAAGTGCGGGTGGTGTTTTCAAAACGCAAAACGCCGCCGTACCGTTTGGTTCGCGCGTTTCGACAGCTTATCTGAAACTGCGTTTGAGTTTTTACACCAGGCGGCGTTTCAGGATAAGCAGCTTATCCTGAAACGTACAAGCTGCCCAAACAGAACCTTAGTAGAATAATTCTTTGCATAAATACCTCAAATTGTAACTTTTTTTGTACATTTTGTAGAAAAACAGAAAGTTGTTTTAGAAATTTTTGCATATATGCCACCTAAATGTTATGTATTTAGAAATTGATATCTGAACTTTATTATTATATCCATTTCACTCAAATCTTTCCCATCACTTGAAAAATGACACTGTTTGAAATTTTAAAAGTGAATTACATATTTTCATAATTATATAACGTGGTATATATGTAAGAAATGAAATTTAGGTGTTTGATAGCATTGGTAAATACATAGGGATTATGTGGTATGTATGTAAATCTTCCATAATTTTTTTTTTTTTACTTCTGCTTTCTCTTTTCTTGTTAAGTAAAAATATACAGGGTTTGCTGACCACATTGGTGATCATAATTCTATGTTCTGTCCCGTACCAATGCATCTTTATACACGTATGCAAATTGGACCACAAAAAATGGTAGTTATATTTTGTGAAATTTAACAGTGTGACGATTAATTAGGGGTGTAAACGAACTGAATATGAACATGAGTGAACATGAGCTCTGTTTATGTTTGGTTCATTTGAAATTAAATCTTGAAAATTATTCGTGAAATGGGTGTTCGTGGTAGGTTCAATTTATTTAAATTTAATTTAAATTGTTCATATTGCTGAATTGCTCGTGTTCAGATCTTGTTTGGCTAAAAAATTTTAAAAATAATAAATTGAATTATTTATTAAAAAATTATAAAAAAATAGTGAAAATCAATTTCAGATAATTTAGAATTAAAAATTCTTTTTTAAATAATAACTTAATAAATTTTCTATTTGAAATTTTCTTATCTAATATATCATAAAATTTTATATATTAATTTTAAATTTTTTATTTATTTCAAACTAAAATGAACCTAACACGATTAAATAACTTCTTGTTCGTGTTCGGTTCGTTTATAATTCAAACAAACAAAAAAAAAATATTAGTGTTTGGTTTGCTTGTTTAATGACGAATCGAACGCAAAGTACTTATCGAGCTGAACACGAGCTATTCGCAAACGATGAGCTTTTTTGTCAGCCCCACTCGTAAGATCGCTGTATAAATTCGTTAATAATGATTGAAATACAATAAGAATAAAAAATATAAATTAAATTATTGGCAGAGAGCCAATATAATGCTTATAAAAAAAGAAGAAGCCTTATCGATCAAACATAAAGTTGGTGTTTCTTCTTTTTTTTTTTTTCTAATAATGAAATTATAAAATATGTTGATCAAATTTTTATTTATATTCTAGAAAAAATGCCTTGATTAAATTACATTATATATGTATAGCAAGTGATGGTTAGCCATATTATAGTTGATTGTATAAAGAGGGTCAAAACATTTATTCTTATAATTGAACTTAAAATAGTGATGGGGAGTGATGGTTAGCCATATTATAGCAGATCAACTTTTCAATCTTCTATTGCTTTGCCTCTTGCTGAGGTTTCATACATGCTAGTTACGGAGGCCGTGAAGAAATCAATACACACACACACAGACACACACACACACACACACAGAAGGCCTATTGGATGACTTGGGAATTTATCAAGAATCTTTGGTTGTGTCCTATGATAATCGAAGTGTGATATTCTTGGCCACAAATTCAATTGATCATGGCCGTATCAAGCACATTGATGACGGGTGCCACTATTCAGGACTTGATTCATGACAACTTGAAGAAGACGGATACAAAAACAATCCAACAAAGATGCTCACAAAATATCATACTAGCAAGAAGTTCACTTACTGTAGAATTTGTTTGAACATCCGAGCTCATGATTGATTGTCTATTCGAGTATCTTAAAAAACTATGTGAGGTTTAAATTCTTCGGAAGAGATACATAGGAAACCATCATGGTGTAACTGTTTTGATCTTGGAGCTCATTTTGGTCATCTCTCATTTACTTGGAAGTAAGAGACAAGGTGTAAATTATTATAAAAAATATTAAATCTAAGGACTATATATTAAGAATTATGTACATTAAAAAAATTGATATTATATAACTTAATTAGAAAAGATCTAATTAGACTGTCTTTTCTATAATAAGAAGCTTGCCCTTAGATGACCTAATTAGAAGAAATCAAATTACATAATATTTTATATATTAAAAACATTTTTATTTTATATTCCATTGTGCTCTTATTTCTAGGAATTAGGGCTGACTTTTATGCAAGGAATTGTTACCCTATTTTGACCATTTTTCCCTCCTTCCCCACATGTTGATAGTAGATTAACCCCTAATCTCAAACAAACTGATTTGCGCCAAACCACATAAATCACGGTTTTTAAATTGTTTGCTTGTTATGTGCTTCCATCTTCGACATTGTTTTGCACAACCAATAACTATAATAAAATACATTACAATAACATCATATTTACATTTAATCCATATTAATAAATGTCATACCATTGTAACATGTCTCAAAGGTTTAAGACCAAATCATAAAAGTTGTGGGGATAGGCTTAAGTTCATGACAATGAAGAGTTCTATTTATTTAAGAGTGCAAAATTAGACTTGGCCAATTGCAATATACCTCAAGTTGAAATGAAAAAAAAAATCTTAAAAAGTGATTCATTTAAGTGAAGGATTGGGGAAAAAACAAATTTTAATTATAATAAATATTAAATTTTGAAGTGATCTTTTTATTGTTGTTAAATCACATATATTTATATGATATTATATGGTAAATATATTAAAAACATTTATTTATTACAGAATAAAAAATATTATTAAAACATTAGGTCATTTACATACCACAATTCCTCTGTATTTACATATCTAATTACTTAAATTATTATTTTTATATTTATATCACTCAAATCTTACATACCATATTAAAAGTATCACTATTTTTATTAAACAAAAAGGTGAAATACATCATTTCATAGGCAAGGTGACATGCATGTAACAAAATTGAAGTGTAAGATATGGCATGTATATGAATCTTCCTAAAATATTCATACACAATAAGCAGCATACATATCATTAAAATTTCATGTGCCACCATCACAGCTATATGCCTATATCCAAAGCCTATCCACTAGAGCATATTAAAACTAATTGCATGGAAGTACACATTATATCTTAATAATACACCAATAATGCACATGAAGAAACATGAAGCCAAGTCATTAATACAACACAAGAACCACATTACATGAATGCCCTTTGTCTCTTCAGAAAAAAGGAAACAAAAATAGCAAATAATATTTCAATTATAATAATAACATTTCAGTCATGTGCCCCTATTTTAAAAGGAATCAAATATAAAATATCAGAAATAATCAACATCACTAGCTTGCAGGCAAGGTTTTCTTTTATTAAAGAAAATGTTATTTACATTGTTTTATAGACCTCAATTATGTTGCTTGCGTTGCAATTCCAAGGATGTAAACAAGAAGTTGCCAGAGAATATAGCCTCCTTGTCTGCATATGATAAGAAGATTATATTTTAAGAGGTAAGATTAAACCGAAAGACTAGTCATCGTCATCGTCGTCGTCGTCATTACTATAGTATTTCGGGCAAAATTTCAGAATTCTCCTACATTCATTCTTATAGTATTCAGCCCCCAGAATGAAAGCAAACAAATGTTAATTATTTAGTTCTTTATTTTGAATTATCTTTTCCCATCATCTAAGGAAAAAAAAAAAGGATAATTACATAAGCATTTAACATTGCAAGAGATAATTTTTCAAACTATCAAACCGATGCATTTATGCGTGTCACGATCAAGCCATTTACAAATTGACAAAGAAATGGAAATTAAGGACTGGGGATTTATGGTAAATTTGTAAATAGCAATGCTTTGAGGGCTACGTATGTAATTGCTCCAAAAAAAAAAAAAGAAAAACAATAAAGAAACAATAAATTTTGAGACAGAACAAGAGGATTATAAACGCTGAAGCAGTATATCATACC